GAGTAATAAAACCCAATATGTGTCATTGTTATTATAAAAAAGAGAGAAAAAGAAAGTGCTCTAAAGGATATAACTGCATGTATGTTTAAGTGTGTAAGATAGATGACCATATTACTAAGTTTTTGTTGGATTGTTGAACAGAACCATTTGCAGCTTCACTATTTGAACGTCCTGTTTGTATGCTTTAATTTTGTAACTTGAACAAATATTTCTAAGATGACAATATGTAATCTATCAACTAGTGATTTCTTATTGTTTATTTTTTTTAAATTCTGTATTATTTCTACCCTTTTTTCTGTTTTCAATTTTTTTTTCCTTAAATAAAAAAAGAAAAAAAAAGTCTGTTTGGGAGCTGGACAGGAAGCAGGCAGCCCAGTGCAGCCCCTGGAGACCAGACTGGGCAGGGTCAGAGAGCACCCCGGTGCGGGAGCCCTGGCCCGCAGCTTACACACCCTGAGCAAGACTGAACCTTCCAAGCCAAGGGTCCCCCTCACCTGCGAAGTGAGACAGGGACGGTGCCTGCCTCCTGCGGGGTCAGTACATGGTCTCCACCAGCTAAGGTGTGAAAATCGGCGGAGAGGGGCCGGGTACAGGGATCCAAGCGTCAGTCACTGACTGAGTGAGGGAGAGAAGGGTGCTGAGGATCACAGAGGTGGCCAGGGACTTGGACACGAGACTGACACCACTGAGGGCTCTGGCATGCCCATCTGTAAGGAGAGCAGAGCTGAGTAGAGGAGGCTGAGGCCTTGTGGACCACAGCAATGGGCTGGACACAAGCAGTGCCCAGGGCTCCTGCTGTCCTGGGCACCCCAGGCTTCAAAGAGCCGGAAATACTGCTTCAGCTACAGTCACTGGAGGCTTGAGGGCATTCTATGACGACAGCTGGGATGATTCCCAAGGCGGCCAGCCCTGCATCACCTCGGCCCCAGGACCACAGAGGCTGCACAAGTCTGCCCTCTCAGCCAGGGGGGCCATGAGTTCCCGGTACACACTGCAGGGAGCCTTCCGGGACCGTGGGCCAAGGTCTCGGGAACACTGGCGTGTCCACAAACACTCAGGTCACGGAAGGACACTGGGTGACACATGGGGAACGTTGGAGCAGAGCGAGGCGGGCAGCTCCTCTGGACAGTGACTCAGGGCCAGCAGGCCGAAGACAGACCAGCTGGCAGCCTGCGACTGTGCCAGGCGGCCTGCACCTCCTGTCACCGCAGACTCAGGAGTCCTGAACCTCAGCCTCACCTAAAGGGAAGAGCAGAGAGATAGGACAAATGCAGGTGTCCCCAGGCCAGCTTCTGGTGTCTTGCTCTTGGCTGAGTTACCCCTTCCAGCCTCTCCTCAGCTCCAATTAAGACAAAAGGAAGGGTGGGCAGGAGCTGGAATGACCCGATGCTGATTTTAACCCCGGAACCACCATGCACACCTGACCAGGGGCCCTCAGCGACTTCCAGCTCCACCACCCTCAGCTGCTGGGCTGGAAACGCTGAGCATCTGTCTGGGCAGTTGCAGGTTAACTTTAACCCCACAAGCCCAGGCTGATCTGGTGCTGGACACCACAGCAGAGCCGAGAGACCAGTGTGTCATCACAGGTGTCAGGGCTGCCGGCCACAGCGTGAGGATGGGACACCGGGGAGGGAAGCATGGCCAGGGAAAAGGGACAGGGGACTCAAAGCTGTCCTCATCTTGCAGCAATAGGGACAGGCACTGTCACACACCTGTGGGCTCATCAATGAGCAAAGCAGGCAGATGTAAAGAAGGAGCCCAGCGGGGGCCGCAGCTCACTGCAGAGCTAACGCCCCACCGGAAAACATGGAAACGCAGGCTTTTCTGTTTGTTTGTTTTATGAGCTTCTGATCTTTTTCCTGTTTTTTGAGACAGAGTCTCGCTGTGTCATTCAGGCTGGCCTTGAACTGATGGCAGTCCTCCTGCCTCAGCCTCCTGAGTGCTGAGGTTACTGGCCCCCCACCATGCCGGCTGTTGAAACGCAGATTTTAAAATAACACGTTACCCCAGTAAAAGCCTGTGTTTGGTCCACACACTAGTGTGACCCAGTGACCTGGCTGTGTGGCATAGGTAGCAACCCCATGGCCACTATGTCACTACCAGTCAATCATTCTTCAGTGTCCTATAAAAAAATGCAAGGGGCCAAGGGCTGTAAGCATTCTTAGCTAGTTAAGGTTTGCCAATTCCTTCAAGGACAGGAGAAAGGAAAGAAGAAAAACTCAGCAGGTAGGAGCACATCGACAGGCAAATTGGCACCGATCTGTATGTTCAGACTCAACTAGGACACCTGTATGTGCCAGCTTACATCACTGCAACAAAACATCTGGATGAACAACTTAGGGGAGGGAAGGCTGACCTGGGCTCACGGTTTCAGAGGTATCAGTCCCTGGATGCTTGGCAGGTGACCCCTTCCTGGTCACCCACCCACCTCCAGTGACATAATCGCTTCCAAAGCCCAGCTCCCACGCATGCCATGGGGAAGGTTTGTGATCCAAACTGCATAAAGTACCAACTGTTGACTAAAGAATACTTTGCTTAGAATCAGACACATCTACCATCTCCGGGAGATTCCCTGAGCTTGATCTATGGTGACTGGAAATCTCAAGCCTATCCTGGATTGTGGTGGACCACAGCCTGGATCCGGCCTCTTGCAGACTGGAGCGACAGAGCCAGGCGGGGACGCACTGCCACCCTGTGGCCATCTGTCGCACTGCAGCCGCGCTTCCTCTGAGCTCAGGTCCCAGGAGAAAGCAGCATCAGGACCCTGGGCAAAGACAGGATTTCAGTTTTCCTGCAGCACCAAGTGCTGTCCTGTGCTGCACTGGGCAGTTCCTGAAGTCGTCTTTCTGCAAGTGTCACAACCTGGCCATCTAATCGCCGATCAAGCTACAGGCATCCAGGCACTCAGAATCCCTGCAGGGCTCCAAAGGACCCATATAAAAATCAATCTCCCCAAGGGAACCTTAGACTCAGCCAGTTTTGTAATGACCTCATCACTTTAACCCCCTTCTGGGCTGCCGGTCACCTCATGGATCTGAGTGATGCTCAGATCTGTGCTTACCCTGCGTGCCTGGAGCTGGAGTGGGAAAAATCTTCCATACAGACACTCTAACTCCCTGCTGGGGGATTGAAGGGGCTGTAGCGTTTGAATCTTGTTGATGAAAGCGTCAGTTTTCAGGGACATCTGGAAAGCTGACGTCATCTAACATCATCAGTCCTGGGACTCGGTGCCTCAGGCAGGGCACCCTGATGTGTGTCCCACAGTTCCAGTGTGGCTCACAGTGACAGCGACCTTGGTATTGAGACAGCTCATAACAGGGTGCTGGGAAGTAAACGTCAGTGCACGTGGCCCGTCAGTAAGGCTTCATACAGCAACTCCAAAAAAAGGCAGGAGAGCCCTCTCACAGCTGCAATTAAAGGAGGAAGCAGTTTTGGGTAAAATACAGTAAGAATAGTACAACTGTGCAAAGATACAATGATTACTCAACAACAGTCAAATACTGTTACTGTTTATTAGTTCAGGGGCAGCAGACAGTGTTTACGTGGCATCCACGGAGCTGGTGCCTCTACATGACACATCTTAACCTCTTGTCATCCCGTCCCTCCCCGCCATCCCTCCTCAAACTCTCCATTCTCCTCCCATCGGAGAAAAATCTATCTCCCTGCTTCCTATTGAATACCTTGGATTTTGTTCTTTACATTTTCAGGTTTCTCAAATTTAAAAAGCCATGTGAAATTTAAGCATGTGGGTCCAATTTATTTCACTTTTTGTTTGTTTTTTGAGACAGGCTCTCACTATGCAGTTCGAGCTGTCCCAGAGCTTACTTTGTAGCCCAGGCTGGTCTGGAACTCATAATGATCCTCCTGCCTCAGCCTCCTAAATGCTGGGATTACAGGCATGTGCCACCACGCCTGGCGTATTTCACTTAACATTGTAATCTCAAGGTACATCCCTGTTCTTACAAATGACTGACGTTTTCCTTTATGGCACCTAGTACTCCCTTGTATGCAAACACCACATTTTCTTTATCAATCCATCTGTGGATGGACACCTACCCTGCTTCCAAGACTTAGATACTGTGAATTATGCTACTATACACATAAGTATGTGTGTATCACTGTGGAATGATGTCTTTAACTTTTTCAGGAAATATCTGGATTAAATGGAATTTCATATTGTTATATTTTGACAAAGCATATACAGTGACTAATAAAATGGAGAAGAGTAGAAATCGGTAATTCCTTGAGAAGGAAAGGGGCTTCTTTGAATACAAGAGTTAAGAGAGGATTGTAATCAACCTAATAAGAGGAAGAAAACCAAAGACCATATAAAGCTGTAAAAACTATTTACACATACGCTCTCCACTTCTGTAAGGTCATACGTGTTTTTGGACTTTCACAGGCATACTGTGTCTGTATAAGACTCACTTTGCCAGATTAGGAACTCAGCCGACTTTGGAACAGTCTCCCAGAACAGGGCTCGTCTGGAAGCTGTGGGCTTCCCATAATTAAGAGCTGTTATTAGTCAGCGATTGTTGTAACCATGGTGTGTAACAAGATAATACCATCAGCAATAGTATCATTCACAAGTAAGAAAAGTGCCTGCTTTTTGGACTCCTGCCCGACTAAGAGACATAGATGACCTAAAAATGCCATGAACTTCCATTTTTTTATACTTGTAATAACATAGATCAGATATAAGCAATGAGTTTCAACAAAGCACTCGGAGAAGGCTTCCAGAGCATGCTGTGGAGAACAGGAAGCTACACAGGTCAAACAGTGAAACACTCAAAATCATCCTGAGCTCGCTAAATAAACAAAGAGTACAGGGTGGTGGATCAGCAGTGGCAGCCACGCGGGAGTCTCTTCTGGTCCCTAGGTCACCGGTACCTCGACCAGGCTCCTTCAGCGTCCTGAGTGGCAGGCGCAGGTCTGCTCGGCGGTGGGCAAATTCCTCCACCTAGCACGCATCCAGCTGATCTGTTAGAGAAAGGAAAAGATTCAGACAGACCAGGCAGAGAAAACAACTGTGTCTACAAATAACAAACAGTCACAGGCGTGAGTGAGAGTCAAGCATCGAGACACAAACGTCTGTGAGGACAAACACACCGCAGAGAGAGGAACAGGCAAAGACTCTGTTCCTTCTGGGATCACTGTGAGTCACCAGTGTGGCGCGGGGCACCCACCCTCTCTCCTCAACCTCCCACCAGAAAATCAGGTCGAGTGCACACTAAGCTGCAGCACTGGAAGGGTTCAGAGAGGCTGAGCTAATTTACCCCATCACGATCCAAAGTGCTGGGCTGGGATTTGGCTTCTACATTTGCAGAGGACACAAACATTTCTATTGATGACCCAGGAAAACATAAACATGCATATATACCATTGTTTATATAATGGCATAAGTTTTGTGTCATTTAATAATTATAATAGCTTTACAACACAGGAGCTAAAATTCTCATTTTACGTAATAAGTAATTACGACTCAGAGAGGCCGAGACAGCACAGCTCATAAACAGCCGAGCCGAGACTCCACATGGACCCCCAAATCTAAAGCCCTGGCCTTGGCCTGTGACATGCTGCCACTCCAGCTGGACCTTGGCTGGGAGAAACGTTCTGGTCCTGGGGACCACTTCTGCCACTGACCCTGTCAACCCTAGCTGACCTCAGTGTGGTCCCAACTGCAGGACATGGGAGGCTGATAAAAACAAAGCTTGGTCATGAAGAAAGAAAATAAAAATTAAAACTATGGACCCTTCAGTAGCCATCTAATGCCTACTCAGTCATTACACAATGATGGTCGAAGATAAACGCACAGCGGCCCTCTCAGACCTTTGCCCCCACCACCACCTGCCTCAGCTGCGGCAGCTGTGCCCCCAGCCTGGACGTGGAACGCCCCGCACCGCCCTGTATGTTAAAGGCTTGGCCCAGAGCGTGCTGAAGAGGTGGGCCCAGGGGGAGGTCTTCAGGTCACTGCAGCCGCGCCACGAAGGGGACAGTGGGGACCCAGCCTCCGTGAGGGAAGGGTGTGGTCTGCTGTGTGCTCAGAGCAAGCTGGGAAACTGAGGGCCAAGATGAACCTTTCTAACTTACTGTCCCAGATGCTTGTTACAGTAACAGAAAGCTGACTGACACATTTATCACTGGTGGGGAAAAAAGAGAAAAGAAAGAAAAAACAACTGGGAGGCTGGTGCTGTAGTCAGGGGGTGCGGGGAGAACAACTGCGTGCAGGACACAGAGTTTATAATCCTGTTTTATGATGGTCACCCCGAGTTAAATACAAGAGTGTGCACGAAACCTGTCCACAACGCTAAAGACCTAGAAAATGCAGCTAAAGGCCTGGATCCCACAGCAATGTCCTGCCTGAGTCCAGTTGAAGACCTATGATCATGACCATGACCATGACCATGTAGCACCCCTGAGTCCACCTGGAGGCTTAAACCCACGACAATGACTTATGAAAGTCTGTTTCATTACTCTGCACCGGGAAGACCCCCAGGTCGGCGGTGGAAGCTAGAAAGTCTATGCCAGGAATTGAAGGATCCATGCCAGTAGAGGATTCTACTCTGGAGCCAAGAAGCAACACCCAAAATAAGGATCAGGGCTCCCCAAAAAAGTACCACAGCCATTCTCAGCGACAATGAGAATACCCGCATTCATATGAGGGAGCCAGCGTGACAAGCTTCTCCTAGAGACTGAACGGCACACATCTTCCCCTCCAGGGCCAGAGAGCGATGCTCAGTGTGAGGACCAAAGCTCTCAGAGAGCGAACCACAGCCATCCTCAGCGACAAGGTCTGGAGCTCCTCAGACGATAATACCCAAGTTCACAGCAGGGGAGCCAGCATGACCAGCTCCTGGGGGGAACCAACAGCTCCAAACAACAGCATATACTACGAAAGCCCCCATGCCATTCTTCCTCTCCACGTCTTTTATGCTGGCAGCTTTCCTCAGGTGGGCCATCCACACTCAGCACCATGCTGATTTAATTCGGCTGGTGTTAAATTGACCCCCAGTTACCAAAATTTACGAAAAGAAAACCATTTGCCATACTTCTCAAGCACCCTGGTATTTTCTGACAGCGAATACATAGATGAAATGTTTGTAAAGTACACCACACATCTGGCTCCTCCACCGGGCTGGAGTGCACGGGACAGCGCAATACCACTGCCATGACTGGATATTATAGTGTACACATTTTCAGGATGGATGAAGAAGAGAAACAGTCTCATCTCAGGATCGTCCACGATATAGTTTATTAGTCAAGATATGTTGTCTTTTTACTATTACTGTGGAAGTGATTATCAAAAATTTGCATAAAGGTATTATTTTCATTTAATTGTCATTGCAAACAAAAATATCTCAAATTTTGGCTAGAAATTTATTTTATTGTTTGCCATGAACTGAGCTAAATTCATTTTTCTTTCAACTTTCCATTTTGCTTCTGTGCTCATTTTGGAGTGTTAATAGCGTGTCTAAACTAATTGCGCTCCTGATGGTCTAATTCTATTCACTGTCATTTTTGGCAGTAAAAGTCTGAGTTTGGCACCCTTTCCCACTGACACCGCCATGCTAAATTAGCTGAGAAGAATCTCAGAATAACCAGGCAGGATCATTCCAAAAATATCATCAAGGATCACGCAGGATGTTAAGCAATCTGCTCGGTTTACACGTCCATTCCTGGGCGGGCGGGTTCTGATGACCTCCGCCTACCACCCTGCTCTCTTGGATGGTGCAAATGGTTTTCAGAGCAGCGGGATAAGTGCGTTCAAAGAAAGGGAGAGTATTTTAAGGGTACCCACGGCATTGTGTCGTGCCTCCCTAGTGTAAAAAATAATAATAAACTGAAAGAGTAGTAAGATCCAAAATGTACAACAGGTACTGTGATAATGAAAGGGAAAGAAAGTGCTCAAAAGGAAAGAGCTACTGGGATGGGGAAGCAGAGAGGAAGAGAGTTAAAGATTACAGGTATGTAGGTAACATGGAACTATGTACGCGTACGTGTGCAAGGCAGGTACGATACTACTAATTCTCTGTTAGTTCATCAAAAAGAACAGTTTGTGCTGTCACTGTTTGGTTGTTTGAACTTTTATGCCTAGATCTTGTAACCTGAGCAACTACTTCTAAGATAACAGTATATAATATAATGACTAGTGTGGATCTGTTTTTTAAAAATTCTGTATTTCTATCACTTTTTCTGCTTTGCTTTTTAAAATTAAAAAATAAAAATAAGTAAAAAATAAAGGAAAGTTTAAAATACGAAGACTGTGTTATCTTTTATCACGCCTTGCATGAATTTTAAAGATGTCTGCAGTAACTGTGTTTTTAACAGAACACGCTCACACGAACCCCTGGGCTCCATTTTCCTCTGGCTCAGACTATCAGACCTGAGTCCTCCGCAGCTCCTGGGACTCCACCGCGCCCTGAGTTCCCGCCTCAGCTGGTCTAACTGCGCATTTCCAACAGGACCCAAGCGCTGCTGAGAGCCAGCGTCCAGAGCTCCCTCACTCAGCCCCAGGGCTCCTGGCTCCCGCGCCTCCCTGAAAGGCTCCAGTTCCGCCTTCCCAACCCCGACGCCCTGCGAGTGCCCTTTTCCTTCACAAAGCGGGGATTCCTGTTTACAGAGTGACCTCCTAGCAACTAGAATAACTACAGAGTTTAAAGTGCTAGCAATGGGGGCAAATTTCAATCATTTACTGTGAAGCCTGGGAAGACCGTATCACCCAGATGAGCAGGCCAGTACGGCTCTCCTCCTGGGTCCCGTTAGCCTCCAGGGACACTCTGAGGAAGGGGAGGAGAGTTCTGTCCCCCCACACCCCTGGCAGGTGACATGAGTGCTCAGTGCCAGGCAAGAGGAAGTGGCCTCCCACCAGCACTGGCCTGAGGACACTTCTGGCCTCCCAGGGCACAGGCCAGGGGAGGCCAGCAGGGTGGACAGCAGCCTGGAGGACAGACCCCTGTGTCAGCAGGGCAGCTGGGCCGGTAGCATTTTGTCATTTACCCTGGAAGCCTAGGACCTCAGGGTGGGAGCAGAGCACCCCAGGCTCAGCCCAGCCGCCGCAGTGGCTGTCACCTGGGCCTGCTCCCTGGGTGCGAGTTCCACAACCTGTCAGCAGAGGCCCCGTGTGACAACCACAAACCACAGAGCTCCATCTTGGTTGCGATTCTAGTTGAAATCAGAAGCTGCAGTTTGCAAAATGACTAGTAAGAAAGATTATGGAAGTTTAAAAAGACCGAGACTGCAGACGCCTCGAGGACACCGCGGCTAGGGTTGGTCTAAAAACACCAAATGTCCACACAGATCCCAGCCAAGGCGGACGGGCGGGCGAGCAGGCGGGTGGGGACCTCCCAGTCCAGGGCCTGCCATGAGCTGCCAGGTTCCATTCTACTTAAACAGCAACAACTTACATAACCTTTAACCTCAAGATGGCGACACGGCTTTTACATTTTGCCATCAAAAACTGAATCTATTTGTTGTTCATTCATTAGGAGAAATTTAGTTACCATAAACCTCGCATTAGTGGACTCACTGGCTGTGACCTCTCTGATCATATTACAATGAACAAAGCCAGGGGTTTAGAGAGCAGTGTAGACTCACTGGGGTTAGAAAGGGCAACAGAAGCCAGGCGTGGTGGCACACAGCTGTAATCCCGGCACTTGGCAGGCTGAGGCAGGAGGACTGCTGTGAGTTCGAGGCCAGCCCCCATCAGTGAGAGCCTGTCTTAAAAAAAAAAAACAGAAAGGGCAACAGGGCTCTTCCTCTTCCCACAAGGCAGGTAAGTAGCACATTAGGTTTGTTGATGCTGACAGTAGCAGAACAGTCAGAAATTTGGCATGAGGGCTTGGATGTTTCTTCCACCTATCACACATCCTAGCGTACAGAAGTGTGTGCAGTGCTTGGTGGATTCTCAGTAAATGTTTGTCGACTGACATATTGATTTCTCATTAATACAGAGAGGAGACATACCTGTTAGAACAAGGCTCAGCTGGATGGAAGTCTACTTGTTCAGAGTAGACCTTTCCTTTATTGCTTCAAATAATTCACTTAAACATATAGAAACTTCGAGCACATAGCTTAATATTACAAAGGAGCCTGGAACCTTTCAAAACGCAGTGCTCTGACCACAGGCTTTTAAAGGCTTTTCCTGGGTAACTGCTCCCTGCATAAGCTGGGGTGCAAGCTGTCACCAGATGAAGCAGTAAATGTGGTGGCCACTAGAGGGAGACAAAAGGCCAGGAATTGACTGAAGAGCCCAGAAAGTCCGAGGAATCCATGGGAAGACCTCGGGTTTGTAGGAGCCAAAGCTCAGAGATCCAGGTACGGTGCCCCGTGCCTCTCTGTATCACTGACAGCTTTAAAGAGCTGAAAGGGCTGAGGAAAACAGAGATAGACAGAGAAAAGGAAAACGAAAAGAAAAGGCAATCCAAAACAGTAAAGGAAACAGATATAATGTAGGAAACGCCAGGCATAGCGATCAGAGACCGAGAGCATTCCCAGCTGTACCGGGTTAAGACTATCAAGGGTCCGGGAAATATGCAAACCAAGCTCCTAACTCACCAGCAAGTCTAGCACCTGAGTACAAAGAGCAGTGGGCAGGACTCCCCGCCCTGGCTGATCCTCTCGGCCTGAAGAAAAATGACTTGAACCTTGTACAGTGGTTTTATCTTCCTGAGAAGTCTGCTGGGCTGAAGAAAAAACATTCAGGCCGTGGGGAGCCTGTTCACCCTCCGGGCCACCTTCGGGCTCAGTCCCCGCCTGTGTGGCCCTGACCACCCTACTTCTCATCTCTGAGTGGCTGACCATGATGACGGTGCTCTTTATATGAAGGATTCGGCAGAGACGCCACATTCTGCAAAACTCAGTCGCTGAAGTTAGTCCAGACCATGTTCGGTCCGACACTCCTGCCAAGTAGGCACAGCATGTGACAAACTCCACCATCACCCTGAGTGTACCCAGTGCTGTACCCTTGACCTCCCCCATCTTCCCAGACTTTAGGTCTGGGGGAGGCACAGGTAGAAATTTACTTTATTTCAAATTTTGCACATTAAGATTTTATTATTCTCATTGCGCTCTGTCTAATTTCTCTGTCCATTACGTTTCCGTTAAATAAACTGCCTCGTACCTACAGTGATGAGGGTGAAGTGGGTGCACGTGGGGACCTCGATAAACATCAGCTGCTCCTGTGGCTCACCCGGAACCTCCAGAAACAACAGCCACTTGTCCTGCGCCAGTCAGCTGAGGAGCTGGCTCACTAGCCCCTCTGCAGACATCAAGGGACTGAATAAGCTCAGGCTGAGCGGTGGCTACAGCTGAGGAGCAAGGAAGCCCAGGGAAACACAGGAACACCCGAGGGGCCCAGACTGGGAGACTCCAGGGCGCCATCGCATGAGCCGCCCAGCCCAGCCCAGCCCAGACTCAAGGTGCGGACACCGAATCTGCCATGGAACACATGCTGCGTCTCTTGTGTAAAATTGTCTTGTTTCTCACGAGTCGAATGTGAGTGCCCGTGAAGAGGGACTGTGTGTATCCCACTGTACACTGAGAACAGGAAGGTATGCCGGCGTCGCGGAGTCATGAAGTGGCAGAGGCAAGGTTTGAACCGGGTGGTGCAGCCCGCACCAGACTGTGAGTCCCTGCACTCTGTCCCCTCTCCTGAGAAAAGTGATTGGCAGGCTGCGGGAGAGCCTGCGCCCCAGACGTGGCCTAAATATCACAGTGCTTTTTTCCTGAAGTCAGAGCATCTAGAAGGAGTGAAAAATCACTGTGTTTATTATTGGATCAGATGGTAACACAGAAGGATGCATTCGGAAAGCTGCGTTGCAAAGCACAGGAAATAAAAGTAAAAATAGGCAAATGAGATTTCGTCCCAGTAAGAAGCTGTACAACAAAAGAACAACACAGTGAAGAGACAACCTAGAAAACGAGAGGTGTCCGCACGCTGTTTGACAAGGAGTTAATAACTAGAACACATAAGGGACGGAGCTGTAAGTGTCTCCGTTCACGAACTTAGAGTCCTTTCCCCGATTCTGGTCGCACTGCAGTCACACTCCGGGGATGGAATCTGTGACCAGAACCATGGAAAGAATTAAATTCGTGAGCTGGGGTATGACTGAGAGAGCAAAAAGCTCAAGTAGTCCAACTTAAAAGTGGACAATAGAGCTAAATAGACATTTTTCAAAAGAAGACATACAAATGACCAAGTATGCTTTGAAAATGCTTACCATCACTAATCATTAGAAAAGAACGAATATAAACCACAATGAGATGTCCCTTCCCTTCGCTTAGAAGTAATAAATGACAAGTGCTATGGAGAAAAGGGAGCATTTGCACAGTGCTGGTAGGAACGTCAGTTAGTACCACCATTGCGGGAAATGGTGCAGTTTCCTCAGAAATTAAAAATACAATTACCATTTGCATTAGTTACTTTTCTTGTTACTGGGACAAAATATTCATCAACCATGTAATGACTGTGTCAACTTGAGAAGTTTCTTTAAGAGAAGCTTAACTAAATCAGCTCAGCAGTTCTAGAGTGTAGAGAACCCACCTTGGGGCAGCCCATCGCCTGGACAGTATACAGGGAAGGAGGGGGACACATCACTTCTGTTCTTCAGAGGAGCTCCAATCCTCACATTTGGCCTAAACATCAGGGCAGACAGACTCTTCACCTTCCTCTGCAGACCCATCAGCCTCCTGATATGGACTTGCATGGACACGGCAGTGAGCTCCAGACCTCGGACTGCATCCTTTGGTCCCCAGTGTGTAGACCCCCTCTGCACTCCTCGTCCAACTCTGGGGTGACCATCATAATGCAATTTCTTGTGTATCTTGCGTAAAATCTGCTTCTGTAGTAAAACACTGACTGACACAACCCGTAAGTTAAAGGAGGAAAGGTTTTACTTTGCTCACAGTTAGTAGAGGCTTCAATCCATAGTCAGCTGGTTCCAAGGCAGGGCAGCATGGCAGACAGACATGGCAGAGGAGAAACAGTCCACGGCAGGGCAGACAAAAGACAGCAAGTGGTGGCGTTGCTTCTTTTATCCCCTTTTCATTCCATCCAGGCTATGAGGCTCCTGGTTGGTGCCACTCACACCCATAGTGAATCTTCACTGAATCCATCCAGCCGCACCCATAATACGTTACTCCAGTTGGAGGACAGATTCACTTACCTCATACCAGCATCCAGCCACCTCCCAAAAGCCCCACCTATGAGTGCAAGAGGGTTTGAGGGGACGTCCAGACATAAGCCATAACACCACACGGTCCAGAAATCCCACCAGGGGGTACATGTCCAGAGAAAACACAACTAGGACACTGAAGAGTCAGCTGCACCCCAAGGTTCACTGCAGCACTGTTCTCAAAGGCCAAGCAAGAGAAACAGCCCAAGTGTCCATCAACTGATAACCAGTCATCGTGCTTAGTGACATAAGCAGGCACAGAACAACAAATACACACACACACACACACACACACACACACACACACACACACGTGGAATCTAAAACAGGCTGACGAGGGCAGGGGGCAGGCAGGGCTGGGCAGAGTCAATCATCAGTGCCAAGACACAGAGGGAAGAAAAGCTCTGGGGCTATGGCACAGAGGGTGCTGACAGAGGGTGCCAAGGTACTGTTGACTTTTTAAATCTAGAAAAAAGGATTTGACTGTTTTCACCATAAAGAAGTACTAATGACTGCTTAAGGAGATAGCCAGGGCCACCTTGATTCTGACATACACAACAGTGTATCCAAACGGCACATGGTACCCCATAAACATGCACAGGTTTTAGGTGTTAGTTTTATGTGGAAGGTGATGGATTTGTGATCATCATTTTACATGTACACATTTATCAAATCATGTTGGATCCCTTAGACATACACAGTTGTATTTGTCAGTTATACTTCAGTACAGGTGCAAAACAATTTTTTTTAAAAAGAAGAAAATAGAATTTATTAGACAAAGAGTCCAGGGGACAACCCTGAAAAGTCATCTGGTGTCCACCCCTCTAGCTCCAGCAAGCCGACACCTGCGGTCCTCGTGAGGCCCACTGCGGCCAGCCACGGTGTGCAGATGGCAGGGCACGCATTCCCGGGCGCCTCCGTGAAAGCTGTTGCCCCAGGATCCCACCGTCAAGGGGGGCTAACGTGGACCTAAGTGGCCGGGTTTGACTGCTCCGTGGCGAGCACCCTGCTCCTCTGAGAAGCTTAGATCAGGGTTACAAACTGGCAGGTTGTGGGCGGAGACCAGCCCACAGCCATACTGTGTTTTGCCTGCACTGACAAAAATGGTTTAAAAGTTGCCAGCATTTAAAAATAGAGGAGTTCTATTAAAAATTCAGCTCTTGAAATAAGTTCCCTGAAAGGGGTTTGCTTAGAGCCAGAATCATCTGGTCTGTGAAAGTTGCAGCCACCTCTGAAACCTCTGAATTTGGTGTTTCCTGTAAGGTACAGTATTAATAACTGATCTGATTTGTTTGAGGCTTTAAGAGTATTTATTTTTCTATTTAGTTTTGAGTCAATTTAAGTAAGTTATATTTTTAAAGATGTAATAATTTATACCTTCAAACTGGTAAAGAGTTGTCCATAATTTCCTTTTATAATGATGCTTTCACAACTTATAGTTTTCTTTAGATTTGGTTAGTTTTTTTTTATCATTTTTGTTTTGTTTTGTTGCCTGTTTTTGGTGCTGGGGATTGAACACAGGGCCTTCGTACTGAGATATGCTCTCCAGTCCTGAGGTCTGATTTGGTTTTTCTGAAATCGGGTCTTACTAAGTTGCCCAGACTGGGCTCAAAGTTTTGATCCTCCTGCCTCAGCCTCCCAGAGTGGTGACATTACAAGCTGCACCTCCGAGCCAGACTCAGAACCTACAGTTCTATTTCCCTTTTCATCCTTATTATATAGTTTCTCTTTTATGGAATAATTTTTCTAAAGTCTTTTTTTATTCCTTTTTTCCCCCTATGAACCAATTCTCACTTCTGTTTTTCTTTTATCTTTACTTCCTATACCAGTAATACTGTTCTTACTATTTTGAAGTTGGAATCTTAACCCACAAGTATTGATCTTTTCTTTTTGATCTAAACACTGAAGTTACCAATTTCTGAGTGTTATTTGAGCTGCACCTCACAACTTTTGACACTTAGTGCTCTATTAATTAATTTTTAGTTTTTTTTGAGACAGGATCTCATTATGTAGTTCAGGCTGGTCTTGAACTAACTATGTAGCCATGGCTGGCTCTGAACTCAACCCTCCTTCCTCAGCCTCCTGATGCTGGGTTTACAGGTATGTGCCACTGTGCGCAGCTAAATTTTTACATCAGGAATTTTTGTTTGACCTATGAGTGGGGATAGATTGGATAAATTAGCATTTATTGTGCATGCCAAATCTCTCTTAATATACTAAAGAAATACTTCAGAGCTGGGATGTTAAACAGCTCCTTTGTCAGGCTCTCTTGCAGCTATAGTTCTGAAGGTGACTTAGGTGCTTCCATCACACATGCCTTCATGTGACTGAAAAAGTTCAAGCAAGGAAGTGAGGTTATGGGTGCTTGTTTGCCTCTTCAGCAGCATTCATGTACCACCTTTCTTCTTTACCCACCCCTCAACCCCACTGAGAGTTAGTTTTGATGATGCTCACAGGAACTCAAGTTCTCACACCTGGTCACTGCTTCCTGACCCCTGTATCATGGTGTATCCATGCCTCACTCCCAGAATTCATATGTTGAAACTTGGGACCTCTGCAAGATGATTGGGGGTAAAGGCAGAACCCAAAAGGAGAGAGGCCTGTGGAAGTCTGTTCCCCTCCTCCATGCCACAGGGACCCCAAGCGAAGGTGTGGACACAGGACGAAGTCATCAACAGACACTACATCTGCTGGCCCCTCGATCTTGGGAAACCCAGCCTCCAGGAATATGAGAAGTAAATTTCTGTTGTTTACAAATTGTCCATTCTAAGGTTTTTTATTACAGCAGCCTGAATGCACGGAGACATGTGGGTCACAGCCTGGTAGTCTGCTCTTCAACTCCATGGTTCCCAGTGCCACCACAGAGTCCTACCCGCTTACCCACAGCTGTCCTGGTCCCCGGCCCGCTGCCTTGGGCAGAGCAGATGCCGAAGCATCTGCCCTTGGGGATTCTGTTCTGGCATCAGCTCTGGAAGCCCCAACTAAAGTTAAATTCTCTATCTCTTTCAGCAGCTTTGTAATCACTCAGATCCCAGGGCTCAGCCCCTTTCTGCTTAAAATAGCTAGTGTTGTTTCTGAACACTGAATGATGCCGGGTTGTTTTGTTTTGTTTTACCTATTTATATCTTACAATTAGACTGTTGTCAAAGAATGTGGTTTGTTCAACATCAAATATTTAAAATTTTAGTAATTTTATTTGTGATCTAATTTTGCTACCAATTTTACTAATATGCTGTAAGTACTGAAAAGGGCGTATATTCCACAATTGTTCCTACTTGGCATTGCTAGAATGTTTGCTAAGTGTACTGTTCAATCACTGTATTCCACTGGTTTTTTGTCTGCACGCTCCAAAATGTATTGAAAGTAATGTGCTAATAATAGTAATGCTCCTAGTAGATTTGTCATTTTGCTTTAAATATCGTAATGCTGTGCTGTTAGGGACATAAAATTTAGAACTATTGTTACTTCCCAGTGAAGTAGATCTTTTTTTTTTTTTAATTTTAAGGAGAAAAAAAAAAAAAGCAGAAAAAGGGTACAAGTTATACAGAATTTCAGAAAAAAATAAACAGTAGGAAATCACTAGTTAATAGATTACATATTGTCATCTTAGAAACATTTGTTCAAGTTACAAAATTAAAGCATATAAAGTGGACATTCAAACAGTAAGACTACAAACAGTTCTGTTCAATGATCCAATGAAACTCAGTAATATGGTTATCTATGTTATACACTTAAAGACACATGCAGTTATATCCTTTAGAGCACTTTCTTTTCCTCTTTTGTACAATGACAATTACACATTTTGGGTTTTATTGCTCCCACAGTTCTTATTACTTTTTTCTAAAGAGAGTAAAACCAAATGTGACATAACAGAACAGAGTCAGTCAAATCAAAAGGATGGACATAATATAAAATGTAAAAACATAATACAAGGTGATTGTTATGGTTCGATAACTAGTGGTCAACTTAACGCCAGCTGGATTACATCAGCATGCATTGAGAGAAGATGCTCCACCTGAGGAGGGCTGCCAGGATAAATAGGTGGAGAAGAGAGGTGTTGGAGAGGGACTGAGGCATTATGGAGACATTGTTGGTTCTCCTACGAGTTGCTGTCTGAGCTGTTGGTTCTCCTGGAGAAACTTTGATCTTCACATCGAGCATTGTTTCCTGGCTCCGGAGGGGAAGACATGTGCTGCCTGGTCTCCAGGATGAACTCGTCACGCTGCTGCCTGGCACGTACCCGACTGTACTTGTTGTCGGAGGAGCTCGGGGCCTCTGTGTCACTGAGGACAGCTGTGGTGCCTTTCAGGACAGCCCCGCTCTTTGTTGTGAGTGTGACTTCTCGGCTCCAGTGTGGAACCCTCATCCCACTAGCACAGCTCCTTCATCCTGCTGGCATAGACTTTCTAGCTTCCACCGCTGACCCTTGGGTCTTCCAGGCACGAATCCGTAAAAGAGACTGGCGTGAGTCCTTCTTGTGGGCTCTGGACTTCCAGTTGGACTCATGGAGGCGTTGTTCTGAGCTCTGGGTTTTTATCTGGACTCATGTGGGACTTGCCATGGGGTTTAGACTCTTGGGTAAATAATCTATGCCTTGGTGTTGCAGATGGATTTCCTGCATTCTCCTGTGTTAACTTCCAGTGACCATTATAAAAATATTATAAACTCCATGTCCTGATCTGAACTGTTCTCTCTGTATAACCCCGGACTACAACAGTGATCAACAATGGTTACCATAATGCCTCTTGCTATCTTAAAAAGAACTGCCTATATCATCAGTTATAATAAAATTGAACAAAATAGTAAAGAACAAAACCAATAAAACCAAAACAATGGAGACATTACAGGTCTTCAAAAGAAGATAATAGTCAACCAGAATGGGCGTCATAATGAATCTTATTATCTTCACAGCTGTTGCCTATACTTTCGAACTTGGTACTATCAAGCAAAACAGAATAGAGGAAAATCAGTCAAAACAAGATGGTGAGAGCAATACAGGGTTTCAAATCAAGTTAATAGGAAATCAAAGTGGGTTACTATAATATATCCTGCTATTTTTTATTTATTTTTTCCTTATTTAAAAGGATAAAAATAAAAAAGTAAATAATAAAATGGAAATTGAGATAAAAGAGGGCATAACAACAAAACAGATCTTTAATCATTATACAGCAACCATCCTTTTGTTCTTTAAGTTTATATCCTTTTGTCCCTAGGTTTCATTTAATTTTTTTATTTTTATTTTGGTACTGTGAATTAAACTCAGGGCCTTGCACTTGCCAGGCAGGTGCTATGCCCCTGAGCTGTATCCCCAGACCCCTTAGTTTTATTTAACAGCTGACCCCACTTCCTGAGAAAGGGAAAGCAGCCAGGGAGCAACAAAATACAGATGTTCTTTGTTTAACCATCTCCTGGGTTAACTGCTCAGACCCATGATCCACTGCTCGGATTTATGACGTGTGTGTGTGTGTGTGTGTGTGTGTGTGTGTGTGTGTGTGTGTACAGTTCTGTATATCTTGTTGATAAAGTTTGAGATATCTTGATAGAGTCTGTATATTTTGTGGATAGAGTCTGAGAGTCTTTTTTTTGTATACTCCACCTGGTTTATACAGTACTACAATTCTGGCAGTTGTACTGTGTAGTATACTACCATTAGTTTTATTTTCTATTACATGTAAAAGTCATGCAAATAAAATCAAAGTCATCAAGTTGGAGTTTCCTTTGACCATTTCTTTGTTCTGAATATTGTAATGTACACACTATAGTATATACAATTCCTCATTAATGATCAGCTCATTTAACAAACTGGTCACAAGGCCATAGGTCAGTCATTGAAAGAGGAGTGTCTGTGCCAACAGAACTAACCCAGAGAAACACCCACAGACGCTGGAAACTGCAAACAGAGCTCAGGTTTTTACTCTGAAAGTGACTCCTTCCATGTGGCAGGCTAGAGATGGAAAAGAAACCCACTGTGTTGCCACCGTATTTGAGAGTGGTAATCTGGAGCCATCTGGGGAAGAAGTCACTTATTTAAGACTGAGCTACTCTGGGAATCAGAAGTCACAGAATGGCTACACTTCACTGTTTCCGGGGCCACCCTCCCCAGTGACAGGAAGGGAGATGAGCACAGGAGGCAGATACAGAGAGGAGGCAGAGTAGTCACAGTTCAAGCAGCAGCTACCTCAGGCCAGGAAGGACACAGTGGTTTCACCCTCTGTGGTGAGGAGCCCTGTCAGTCTCATGTAGTTTTCAAAGTGGGCTGGATCTAAAAGTGCTGGCATTAAGTCCAACGGGCTGCTACACACACACACACACACACACACACACCACCTACGTCTAGCACAGAGCTCAGTGGTCTGTTTGCCTGCCTCTCCATCTGCCAGCAGGAGTCCTTATGCCTCAGCTCCAACAGTGTTATAGCTTGTAGCTAGATGCCCCCTCAAAGTCTCATGTGCTCACAGGTGGGAGGAGATTGAATCATGGGGGCTGATTCTCATCCACGGATTAGTCTGTTGATGAGTTTATAGCTAAATGTGACACTGGGAAGTGATGTTATCCAACAGATAGATTCCAGGCTTTTATGTACAGTAAGCAAAGAATTGCAAGCATATATCCAACGGTGGAAAAAAAAAGCAACTGCATGTACTGAAGATAACCAGAAAGCATGCTCAGGGCAGATACACGCCAGAAGAAACAAAAATGTGTGCAAACAGAAAAGTGGTGATGGGATGACAAGATAAGCAAAAGCACACAACTAAAATCAGGCTTTCAAATTTCTGGGGAGGAGCACCCCAGCCCAGGTGCCTCTCACTGGGTCTCTAGATAAGACTGACAAGAACAGTTAACAGAGTGCTGAGTCATCCTGAGTCAGGGGCTTGCAACCAGTATGCTCCTTCCAGAGTTTAGTCTGATTAGGTTACATGGAACAATGGAGGGAGGACTGCCCAGGGCAGCTGAGTAGAGGGAGCACCTTCTATCTGTATTAGTGAAACCTCCCCGGAGGAGGCGGATCGCTGGAGGCCTGAGAGCATCTATCTCACTCCCTCCTCCCTGGATCACTCTGTTTCCTGTCTGCCAAGCTATGAGCAGCTTCTCCTCTGCCATCCTCTCTTTCACAAGGACCCTACCTGATGCCAGTAGGCTATGGACTGAAACCTCCACAAACTATGATCCAAAATAAACCTTTCCTGCTTGAAGTGGTGGGCACCAGGTATTGTGTCTCAGCCACCAGAATGCTGCTAATAAAAGAAATGATTGCCACAGCCTAAGGGTTTGGACACATTGGCCTCTGCAGCAAGGGGAGCACCTCACAAGCCCACAGTCCATGCAACCGGGCAGAGACAGCAGTGACTTAGGTTCACAGGAAGGACATTGAATACAGCCTGGGGGCAGAAACCAAATCCTTTCCTAGTGAAAAAACGGTGGAGCAGGACTCAGCACACACACACCAAAAATGTAGTAAGGGCCTCGTGTGGCTCACTATCCTGCCCCCATACCTGGCACAGTCCAGTACTACAGGCCCTGGGAAGACACTCACCTAAGAGTGGTGTTTCCTTTGGGGAGCGCAATGTTCTTTTTCTTTTTTACTTTCCTTTCTTTTGCTCTCTGCTTTATTCTTTTTATTTTCTTTTTCTTATTTTTTCTCATAATTCTATTAACTTTCTTTTGTTCTTAATTGGATTCTTTGACTTTTTTCCTCTTTTTAATCTTCTTTTTCTTATTCAAATTTCCCATCTTTCATTTTCCCTTCCCCAACCCCTTTATTTTTATTATTATTACAATTAAGTTAATATTTTTAGATCTGTAGTTGACTAAACATTGTTATTGCTAAACTCTTCTCTATTGTTAATGATGGTACATTTGTTGCATTTAGTAGATATTTACTGTATGTCTTTTCTATTGATGAAAATGGTGTAGCTGCAGCCTTTATTGGTTCTTATAATATGTCAATATCCACTCTGTCCCTGGCTCTATTGTTACTGCTGATTTCTTTGCTATTACCAATGGTGGCATAGTTGTTACTATTAATTGGTTGGTACTGTATTCTAATATCTGATGTCTTTGTGTCATCAAAATTACTATTACTTTACTTCCTGCTTTCTACGTGGAATTGGGGTTCAAACCCCAGGACAAGCCTGGACACTAAGAAAACCCTGAAATACTATCCTGAGTAGGTTGAAGAGAGGTATAAAAACCAAACAGATTCTAAATAATGAGATTACACAATAGAGACAGTTTCTCTACTCAGACTGATCCTCAACCTTAGCACAAAGACAGCAAATAAGGGAAAGGAAGGCAACACGATGCTCAGAAAACCCTTCATCCCTCAAAAGCTGGCCTCCCAGGAATGAAGTACAGGAAATTACACGCAAAGAACTAAAAGACCAAATGAAAGATTCCTTGAACTAATAAACATAGTCAGCAATGTAGCAAGATATAAAATAAAGACACAAAAATAAATGACATTCCTATACAACAAGAAAGAGAGAAAGTAACTAGGAAAACAATGCCACTCATAAAAGCTTCAAAAATTACTTAGGAATTCATCTAACAAAGGAAGTGAAAGACCTCTATAATGAAAATTGTAATACCCTGGACAAAGGTGATTGAGGAGGACATCAGAAAATAGAAAGACAGTTCCAGTTCCTGGATAGGCAGAATCAATACTGTCAAAATAGTCATATTATCAGAACTGACAAGTAGATTTAAATGTAACACCAATAAAATACCAACAGCATTCTTCACAGAACTAGAAAAAACAATTCTAAATTTTTATGAAACCAGAAGAGCCCCAGAAGATTAAAAGCACTCTGGATCAACTAAAGCAAAGCAGGAGACATCACAACCCTAGATTTCAAGTTATATTACTAAGCTACATGATAAAAGCAGCATGGTACTGGCACAAAAGCAGATAGGCAGGTCAGTGGAACAGAATGGAGGACACGGAGACAACCCCATTCACATTCAGTCAGCTGATCTTTGACAAAGGGGCCAAAAACATGCTAGAAGAAAGACAGCCTTCTAAGCAAATGGTGCTGGGAAAACTGGTTATCACATGCAGAAGAATGAATACAGAACCATCTCTCTCATCCTGTACCAGATAAAATCAAAATACATCAAAGAGCTAGATTTTAAAACAGTAACAATGAATCTGCTGGAGGATAAATTATGTAAAACTTTTTTTAGACAAGCTCTCACTACGCAATCTAGTCTGGCCTTGAACTCACTGTAAATCGGGCTAGGCTCCACTTGCAGCGATCCCCCTGCCTCCGCCTCCCAAGTACTGACATCACAAGCATGTACCATCACTGCCACCTTTTTTCTTATTTTTTTAAATTAAGTAAAACTCTTGAAGACATTGGCAGGGCTTTCTGAACAGAACCCCAAGTGCACACACACACACATAACATCAAGAATCAACAAAGGGATTACATCAAAAAGTTTCTACACGGTAAAGGAAACAACCAAAAGAGTAAAAAGACAACCCACAGAACTGGGAAATTTTTTCCCAGCTACTCCTTAAAGGACTAATATCTAAATATGTAAAGAATTCAAAAAATATGACCTCCAAAAATAAAAGACCCAATAAAAATGGACATTGAAATGAATAGACACTTTGCAGAGAAAGTACAAGTAGCCAGTAAATACACAAAAACACGTTCAGCGCCTTTGGCCATTAGAGAAATGCAAATCCAAACAATACTACGATTCCATTTTACTCCAGGAAGAATAGCTATCGTCAGAAAATAAGAATGCCGAGAGGCTGCAGGGTGAAAGGACTCTTCTGCCATGTCAGTGGGGTGCAAATGGCACAGCTAGCATGGAAATCAGCGTGGGGGTTCCTCAAAAAGACTAAAAATAGAAATTGTTTTTGAGGTATCTTCCCAAAAGAGTTGCAGATATATTAAAGTAATCTGCACCTACCTACCTATGTTTGTAACAGAACAGAACAACTCAACAGCTAAACTGTGAAAATAGTTTCTGTGTCCATCAACAGATGGGTAAAGAAAATGGGGTACACACATACAATGGAGTACTACTCAACCATGAAAAGGGTAAACTTGAATCCTTGGAAAACTGAATGCACCTTGTGACCATAATCCTAAGCAAAATAAATCAGACATAGGAGGTTAAACATTGCATGTTTTCCTTTATACGAAAAATCCAAAGTATGAGTAATTTAAAGAGAAAAACAAAGGCTACATGATAAAAAATGGAGGGAGAGATCTTTTGCAGATGGGAAGAGGACCAAGAGGTGGAGGGAGAGAAGAGAGAGGAGGGGAGGGGAAGTAAAAAGGACTAAGAGGCGATCTGTGTGCACCAACACCCGCAATGCACGTGTTCATTATGCACTGCAATCGTGTACTAAGGAAACATGAATACATTTTTTAAAAAAATTTAAAAAGAAAGCTACAGCGTGAGGACACAAAGTTACACAAGGTTACAGTATCTCCCCCCGAGCCCCCACCCCTCACCTCCCACCCATCCACCCCCCACCCCACTTCCAGGAAACTAAAAACAAAATAATCCTGTAGTTTTGAAGATACATCTGTAAAATGGTCCCTCTCTTGCTTTTTACCTTGAAACTGGCCACCGTCTTCCACCTGTAAATTCAGCCCACGCTTTCCACAGACACAAATCCTACAGATTTCCAAAGGCACAGCGTGGACTCGCCCCAGCCCTCGGGGAGTCACTCGCGTCTGGTGTCTGCTTCCTTAGTTCTGCTGAATAAACCTATCTTTGCCCCTCACAGACACATCCTAAAATGCTGTTGTGCAACAAGAGCCTATTCCACGGGGAGGTGAGATGAGATGGGGTCCCCTGGGGACCTCCTTGGACTCCATCCAGTGATGACGCCACTGGGGAATCTCTGGTGCTCAGGGAACCCCCTGCCAGGGCAAATAGAGGCTCCTTCTAAGGACTGCACTGCCAGGCATGTCTGTGACGCTACAGACTCACAAAGAATGTCCGCAGGCTCAATGCTGGGGAGAAACACAGAAGCAACCAGCAGGAACTGCACGAGGTTTCCATGGGCCGCCTGCCTGGAGACCACTGTGCACTGCTGACCGAGGCCACCTGGTGACAGATCCGCCGCGCAGGCCCCTTACGGGCCCTGGCTGACCAGCTACAGCAGAAGAGCCGTCATCCTGAGCAGGCTGTTCTCCTGGGAATCTACGGCACTTGAATCTCCACATTGCTCAGAACTCCACCTTATTCCTGAAACCTCTGCAGCACTTACAAATTATGGACTTTTTTTTCTGTAAAAAGCAGAGATTTCAGCTGAGTGTAGTAGTACGGACATGCAATTTCCGGTACTCAGGAGGCTGTGGCAAGAAGATTTCAAGTTCAAGGCCAGCCTGGTCGACTCACACCCAGTTTCAAAATTTTAAAAGGATTGGGGACATAGCTCAGGGGCAGAGTGGTTGCCTGTGGTGCCCAAGGCTTGGTTCAATCCCCAGCACCACAGGGAGGAGAAGGGAGCAGGGCTTTCAGATCACAAGACAACTTGTGTCCTCTTGCCCAATGTCTGTTCTTTACCATCCTTCTTTAGTAACAGACTCCAGGCAAGGTGCCAGCTCTGAAATATTCCAAGCCTCCCATGCAGACGGGTGTCCCTGAATATGAAGGCAAACCTTGGCATGAGGCGCTTGGGGAGGGATGTTTGGCCCTGTCCCCATCCAATCCCAGCTGAAACAGGGACCGCAGGGCACATGGCCCAGCACTCGTCTCATAAGCTCGATGCGAGCAGCCATCAGCATAGTGGGTAGAAGCAAGGAGACCTGGGGCCAGTAACCCTTTATTGCCACCGTTGCAGCCCGAGTTCTCTTTCTTGTTATGCGAGAGAATAAACGAAGCACGTATTTGTCACTTTTCTTGTCACTAATAATGAATCACTCTCAACCACAAGAGACATCATGTTTACAGTCCTCTATGTCACAAAGGAAAATCAGACTGGAGAAAGATACCTCCTTACCTTTCTCAGTCCACATGAACACCTGCCTCACACAGCTGTGGAAATAAGTGTTTGCCAGGATCTCTGAGCGAGGACTCGGAGGAACCTGGTGGGAGCCTCACCTGCGGAGCTGGTCAGTGGCTGTGTAAGGCAAAGAGTGAGGGCTGAGCGTGCACCAGTAGGCAGCAGTAACATCCCTGTCACTGATGAGGAAACGCCTGGCAGGGTAACTAGTGGGCCCAGGACCACACCCAGAATACAACCCAAAAATTAGACTCCAGAATTCCTTCCCACTACCAAGTACATCCCTAAGGGAAGGATCAAAATAGATTCCCATTCCCAGTCACTCATTTCCAGACATCAGGTAATTTAGTCACCTGGAATCTCATTCAATTCCCATACTCCAGCCTATAAAAACACTGCTAAAGTCACCAGTAAGTAAAATTTAACAGATAATGCACTGGTTCAAGTCACAACTTTATTTAAGTCATGGAGGCAAAATTTCTGCAAGGGATCACCTGGGAAACTGGGTAAGTCACTTCCTGGATCATAGCACAAGAAAGTATAATAATTTCATGATTCTACTCAAAGGGGAAGCTCCAGGTTTGAGCCAGTTTTGTGTACAATATCAAAATCTTAGGCAAGTCACTCTTGAAGCAATACAGAGGGAGAATCTGCAGTCAGGTGTCAAGACTACCAAATAGTAACTAGGAAACTGTATTAGTGCAAGGAGGAAAACAGACCAGTGGGTGGAACAGACATCTCCCAAACTGACCCACACACAGAGACCTAGGCTTACGGAGGAAGTGGCCCTGCAGCGTATTGGGGAAAGGACCATGCATTCAATAAACAGCGTCAGGGGAGAAAGAAACCCCCCACCATGCACCACACATGAAGAAAACACTTCCAGGAGGACCTTAGACCCAATTATGGAAGCAAATTGAGGAGATAATCCTCAGAGGTGACTTTTCAAATGAGTCACAGAAATACGATAAACTGGACATTAACAGTGAAAAGTTTTGTTCATCGAAAGACAGCCTTGCAGAACTAGAAACATCCTTGCAAACACAGAGTGAGAGATGACATTTTCAACATGTATATAGAATAAAGCACGCCTACACGAGCTGAAAGGGTGCTTGACAAGAGAGCACGTGGCCAAGGAACATATGAAAAGATGCTCCGTCTCATTAGAAATCCAGCAGATATGAACTGAAACCACAAGGGGGTTCACAAGCTAAGTCCTTACACTGAACTTCCAGGTCACAGGAAATACCAGAGAAGGATAGGAGACCCCAAGAGGAAGAAATGTCAACAAATTCGGAACGTGATGTCCTGGAGAGAGCTGCCCTGCACTTTTTAAAAAATCAAGGTCATGAAGGAAAACAAATCAAAGGGAACTAAAAATAAAAAGAGATGAAGTACATGATGACCAAATACAACGCACAAACCTTGAGTGAATCCTGAGATTAAAAAAGGCACCAGCTCTAAAAGACATTCTTGCGTTAAGTGAGAAAGTTTGAATATGGACTAAGCACAGTTTGCCCAAAAATATATATACACACCTCAGGAAAAGAAAACCTTGTATAAATCTCTTAACACTAAATTTATGGATTAGTACAAGCTACCATTGACAATTACAAGAAGTGTTCAAAGTGATGGCTATTGGTTTCCAGACATTTATTAGTAGAGCCTACTGCTTGCTGCTTGGGTAACCTTGGCCACTGAGATTCCTGCACATGCATCTTTGATTTCTTCTCTAAGGGGTGGCAGTGTTGTTGCAGATTTTCTGTGATATACAAGATTCTCAGGTGCTCCCCATACAAGGGTTACACCATCTGCTGAACAGACATCAGACAACTTTTCTTTTCCTAGAGTGTGTGTGCATTTTTTGATGGGCTCTGTATTATTTGGTACTAAGTAATTATTAATATTCCTGATTACTGTGATTAGACACTAGACTGACTCTTGAAACAGTCCTGCTTTTGCCCTGGGCCCACAAAAGGAAAGCTTCTCTCCTACTTGTTGACCACACTAAGCTTTCTCTTGTTTTCATTCATCAATAAGGAATCTGATTCAGCTGTATACTCCCAAACCAAAAGAAGTAACCAAAAAAGTGCTGTGCTTTCTTTTTTCTTTTCTTTTCTTTTTTTTTTTTTTTTTGCCCCTGCACAATGAAACTGGAGGTAGGTGAGTGCTGGTATTGACCGGGTGACCACGTTGGGTGGGCTGACACTTCTCTGAATTCCCTGCCCTTTCCTTGGGCCCTCAAACTGGGACCAACACCAGGACAGGTACAGCCTTGTGCAAGGGGCAAAACTGCACGTCTTGATACAAATAAACCACAACCTTTCAACCTCCAGGTGAAAGCTCTACAGCCACGCCTGGGCTCGCTAGGGCAGACAGCTGGTGGGCAGGCAGGCGGCCAGCAGGCCCTACCCAACTGCGCGGTGGGATGAGCTACATCCGAAAGGAACTGTGGGAAGTTTTCATAGAGCAATGAAATACGAATTCTGTCACAGTCTAGGGCCTGACTTTGAATGGGCATCCCCACATCTATCTAGGGGCAGTTCTCAAAAGTTGGGGCACAGAGAAGCCATGCTAAGTCTGGGAGGAGCACAGCAAGAAGCCAATTTGCCTTTCCTGTAAGCTGCGCAAGCCACGCGGGGCCCAGGAAGACAGAAGCCAGCTGCCCCTCCCGTGAGTCGGCAGAAGCCGTGCTGGGTCTTGGAGGAGTGCATCAAAAGCAGGGGTGCAGGAGTAAACCAAGACCTAACAGACAGAAAAGCGCACAAGCACTGGCCAGGTTTCTCTTAGCTGGAGTTGGGTACTGTCCTACCCAGTGCCTTCACCATGCACACACACTGAGCCCCAGAGAAGGCAGGGCACACACACTGGCTCTGGCTCTGGCTCTCCCAGACAGGCCTGAGCTGAGCCCTAAGCTGTGAAAACCCTGTTAGCCACTGTCTCCTGGGACCACAGAGCGCTGCTCTACCTCCGGAATCTCTGCGGTGCTCCAGTGTCTTCTGAGAAGGTGACATTCCCACATGGAAACAGGGAATGCTTGTCATTTTTCAAGTCACGGTTCACTTGAAATGCCAAAACCGTATTCCTATTATCCATTTTCTGATGGTCTTTAGAGAGTAGTTTTTGGGTTTTACTTACAGCTTTAAGTACTGCCCACCTTTCCAAGCTGAACACAGATACTGTGTGTGGCAGTGCTGATAAGAAAAGGGGAGGGGACAAGGGAGAAAAGCCAGGTGACGAACACCAGGTGCCCGCATGCCAACTGGATTGTCTTAGTCCGTTCACTCTACTATTACACAATGCCATCGATCTGACGAGGTGTGAACAGCTAACATTTATTTCTCCCAGTTCCAGAGGCTGGAAAGTCCAGGATCAAGGTGCCGCAGCGTTGGGGTCAGCTGAGGTTTACAGATGATGCCTTCTCTCTGGTCCTCGCGCGGCAGAAGGAGCATAGCAGCTCTCTGCTGTATTTCACTTGATTTGAACTCAATAACTCAACATACAGACCTCTTTAATATTTGCCGATGTAACCTTCCCTATTACTCTCCCTTCCTTTTCTTCTCAATTTTCAGCTCTTACTCTTCTCCTTTCTTTTTTCCAATGGCTGAAGCCAAAAAGGAAGGGATAAAAGAGTGGCATCAGAGTTGAGAATTTCAGGACTGGAGGAAACTAACACTTTACTTTAGCACTTTTCCCAACAGCCACATTGCCATAATTTGAATATGGTTTGCTCCCTCCAAAGCTCATAATGAAATGTGATTCCCAGTGTGACAACGTGGAGGTGATGGGATCTTTAAGATATGATCAGGTCATCAAAAGGTAGAATGTGGTTCTAGTGGGACTGGATTGGTTACCTCGAGAGTGGGTTGTTGTATAGAGTCCCCATACATACACACACACACACACACACCACATATACACCACATATACACACCTTATACATACACACACACACACAGAACATATACATACATACCACACACACACACACCACATATACACACCTTATACGTATGCACACACACAGAACAGAACACACACACACACACACATTTCTGCCTTCCCACGTCATGACAGAGCACAAAGCCCTCACCAGATATGGTTACTCGGTCCTAGGCTTCCCCATCTCCAGAACGGTGAGTCAATATAAACCCTGTTCCCTTTATCAATGACCCAGTCAGGTATTCTATGGCAAAAGAAAACAGATTAGGCTATACCTCAAATCGTGACTTTTTAAAAACACTCAAGAAATCAAATCATTCCTGCACATATCTCCAGGGTTCCTTGGGGATGGCAGGTCTCTGCTGCCCTCGGTGGCGGAGGCTGTGTGGCTGCTGTGTCACCCGTGAAGGAGCAGGCACATCCAGCTGGAGGGAAGCAGCTGAGCGGCAGAGGGTAGGAGAGGACGCTGCTGGTCACAGCTGGTAGGACAAGGGCTTCAGGTGACCATTATCAGCCATATTTGCTTTTCTGTGTCCTTGGGACAAAACAATTAGATTTGTAGGAAGTCTCCAAGGATTAGGTGGTGTTCCATGAGAGATACCAAGGCCAACCTTGGCTTCCTTAGTCCACGAGCTACGCTCCAAATGCCAGCCTAACTCAAGAGCAGGGACAGCAAACAGGTTTGACCTTTCATCACCGACATGAAAGGTCCAAGACTGATCACCACTCACCCAGGCCGTGGTAGTGTGCAAGCAGGTGTGAACAATACACAAGTGAGTGTGGCCGTGTTCCCATAAAAGTGGATTTTAACCAAACCAGGCAGCCCAGCCACACCACGCTTTGCCAAGCCCCAGAGACCACAGGTGAAGCTGAGCTCCGGGAGGCTCCCTGCTGGTTGGAAGATGTGTTTGTAGCAGCTACCTGCCTGCCTGGGCGTTGTAAGGAGAGTGACAGATTCCAGGTCAGTCTCTGCAGAGTGAGCTGTGCCTCCCCTAGGGTGTGGCCAGTGTGATCCCGAGATATGAAAAGAAATATAAGAATTCTGTGTATTTTTTTCTTTTCTGTTTTCACTGTAGGCTATTGATCTTGTCACCTCCCTCGTGAAGCCATGCAATTGGCAGCGACTCACTTCATTGACTGAACACGCTGACCAGAAGTTGGGCTTCCCAGCCTCCAAAGCGCCTCACACAACACTGTGCCAGGAAGTCGCCACACCTGCCACTGCCACTTCCTGCCGGCCTGGCCTAAGCTGTGCCCAGAGAAGGACAGTATCTCTAACTCACTGCAGCTAGCTTCCTCTTAGACTGCGGTAATTTGCCACGCCGAGGGAGTCTGGACTCACAGTTCTGTTTCAGACCTGATCAATGGGTTCAACTACTGATCAGGACCCAAAAAGCAGTGGGAGAGTCCTCACACACGTACCATTTACAAGAACACTGACCACATTGTGCTGTCTTTCACCTGCTCTTCTGGTAGTCTCCTTCTCCGTAGTCCAGGCCTGCCGTGTACCGGAGGGCAGACAGTGCACTGCGCAGTACCGCATGCTATAAAGACTGTGAAAATGGTAGACTTACAAGTACTGTGACAATTCTTTATATACAGCATTGTGCGCTAACAAAAGTGACACATTATGGCAATTTCTGATGGGTAGCAGGTATCATGAAGAAAGTGTATTTTTAATTCCACAAAGGACTATGGACTAGTAGGGGAGAGACAGAGAGAAAGAGAGAGAAAGAGAGAAAGAGAGAGAGAGAGAAAGAATGCACAAGTTTACAAGAGACGGAAACTCTTCGGTGTTGTGAGTTCTTTGCAGTGCAAGTGGGAAGGGGCTCTTTTCAGAGTGAGTGCTGAGTCCTTAGCACACCTCTGAGGGGCTCAGAGGTGCAGATGGACCTCCAAACACTCTACTGGCGGTGCCCAGAGGAAAAGAAAATATGATTTTCTACATCCCAGGTGTTCTCTCTTCCACAGGGAAGAGGAGATGGCAGACAAGGCAGAGAAATGTGTTTCAGTGCTGACCCACAGCACAGTAAGTAGCAGAAAAATGAAACCTCCTTGGGGCAAGCCTCCCTGCCTGCGCCTCCTCCTCCTTTGGGAAGGCAGATCTGCTTTGCTGGGCCCAGCCAGCTCCCTCCCCCCCCCCAACACTGCCACCCCCCCTTCACCCCCCCCACACCCAGCAACACAGCGCCTCCTGCTGCTGCTAACGAGGTGGGCACGTGACAGGAGCGTGGCCAGTTGCACTCCCTCTCTGGTGGCTAATTGCATGTGACAACTTGACTGGTCCTGGAGTGCCAGCAATTCAGTCCAGCATTCTAGGCCTTTCTGGATGAGATTACCGTTTTTCTCAGGAGAGTGAGGCAGACTCGACTGCCCTCTAGAGCGTGAGCGATCTCCATGCAATTAGTAGAAGCCAGACCAGAACAAAAGGACCCACCCTCCCCCCAAAAACAAAAAGATTATCTAGCACTGCTGGGGCCTGCGATAGGGCCCCTTGCCTGATGACTTCCAAACAGCATCGCGGTTCTGCACACTGATGGCCCCGGAACTCGCTCTGCACGCCACACCTGCCCTGCGCGCCAATTCCCCCAGCATGTGCGCCCTGTGCCTGTGGTTCTGGGGAACCCTGACTGGCCCTTCTTGCTTTCTTTCACTGTGGACTTTGACTCTGGAAATGGTCAGGGAGCACTCATCCCAACCCGGGTGCTCGCATGACACTGTCCCTGCACCCTCACCCCTCCAAGACAGATGTATCCACCTTTTATGGACCTGATTCTCAGTCTTCCTAACAATTCCGTGGGCCATGCATTTTCTTCCTGAACCCCACACGCATCCGCTGAGTGCTTTGAAGTTGATTTTCCCTGAGAGTCATATGATGGAATTTAACGCCCAAGGTGAGGTGTAGGAGAGGGGGCCTTTCATGGGGGATCAGTGCCCTGGTAAAGGGGCTTGAGAGAGCCTGCAGGGAGCGGCTGAAGCTGGAGATTGATCACACGTGCAGGACTGAAGCAAGGCTGAAACAGCACAAAGAGCGCCCCCGCTAGGAGAGCCAGGTAAAGGAGCTGCTTCAGCGCCAAGAACAGGAGTGCCCCAGGCTAACACAGGCAAGCTGCTAGGCAGAGGGGTGTCACGTGACCCGGACCTTCCTTGAATGTGTAAGCAAACGCTTCCTGCTGGTTGAGCAGTCCCTTTCCTCCTGTCCAGAGGGAGGGCGCCACCATCCTCCCACTCTCTATCCTGGGGAACTTCCAGAGCTGTACTAGACGCCCTACCTGTCCCCCACTTCCTGCACGGAAGAAGCGCAGCCGGCTCTGCCTACTAGGAGTGCGCTTGCTGCCACCTTGAGCAGGGACTGCACTGCCTCCAGGACCGACAGATATAAATGTCTGGTGTTTGTAAGTGACCCAGTGCCATGTTGAGGCAGCTGGCGTGGACTGAGACCCCAAGTGGCTAGGATACCCAAAGTGGTATTCTACCACAACAGGCAGTGAGCAAGGTAAGCCCTGCTCTAGGGAACTTATTTACTAAAAGTCCTTTTCTGGTTAAGTAGATAAACTGTTATTACGAGTTTATTTCTCTTTCTTGACAGCAAGGAAGCCTGACTGATACCAGCATTCCTCCAGGCTTCTTCTACCTCTGGCTATGTTTTGTTTTCTGTTTTTTGTACTGAGAATTGAACCAAGGGCCTCAGCATTGTGCACTCATCCACATTCCCAACCCCTTTTTTATTTTTGTTTTTTATTTTGAGACAGCATCTTAGTAAGTTAAAATACTCCTCCCTCAGCCTTCCAGATTGCTGGCATTGCAAGAATGCACCATTGTGCCTGGCTTTGAATCACAGTAAATAAGTCAGATACTGATCTCCAGGAATCAGAGGAAAAGGTCCATGGCTCTGTGCAATTCTTGAGCAACACAGAGAATGTGATCACCACAAGGAAGGGACCTGAGAGCCGTCCCTGGACTTGTGCACAGCATTCACTTGGGGAGATGCAGGGCTGCGTGGAGCAACTTCTTAGAGCAGCTTTTCAAAGGGCCCTGAGGACGGGCCTTACAATGAGCAGTGCATTGTTCGGCCCACTACGACTTATTTCATATTTAATCCTCTTCCTCAGAAGCTTTCTTCGTGTCATCTCCCAAAGCCCAAAGGATTTATCCTGGGATTAGCCAGGCAGAAGAGAGAAGCTGGCGGAGATGGCCAGAGTGCCTCTCACCCGACAGTGCCGTTATTTAACATGGCAGAAGCTTTGTCTTGCAGCAGGTGAGCGTGCCGTTGGGTTCACTGTGGGGTCTCAGTGTCTAGGCTGGAAACTGCCCCACGTTAGCACTCCTGGAAAATTTCAGAGCCAGCATGCATCATACAAGCTGAACATAGGTCCAGTTGAACAGTGTATGTTTGTAGCTAAAAACTGCTGAGCCACCTAACAGAGTATCTATAAACCCTGAGGCTGGGGGAGGAACAAAATTAAATAATAGTCGCCAGGGCCTCTGGAACACCTGACCCCGTCACTCAAGGTGTGCACTATCTGGGAATTATCAGGACGATGGTTTGGCTGGCCCCGCCCTAGAACCAAAAAGCAAAAATAACCCAACTGACCCAGTTAAATCAGGGAACATAACCACACCGTGAAGCAGGCCACCATTCAGGTGCCTGCTCCAGCCCAGGGCTCCCTGGGGACCTAGCTCTGTGCTTGAAAGGAATGAGCTGTTGCAAAGCCTGAGCCAGGAAGTCTGGGTTTACAGCTGAACTGAAAGCTGGGGCTGAGCTCAGTCTGAAATCCACCCTCAGGGGTTGCTCTCCACAGCCCTGCAGGTGCTGGGCCTGTGCAAAAGGCCTAAAATGCAGTCCTTGGATCCCTATAAAGGATGCAGGAGCCTCTGGATCCACCACTCAGACTTGCAAAGAGCCAAGAACTGGAAAAGGAATATTTGGGTGTCCATACCAAGAAGTACAGTATGTTTGAACAGAAGCACAGATGCACTTGGAACAGTGGCTCCAGTAAAGGAGGAGGACTATCCTGCCTGGCTGCAAATGAGGCTAAGACACTGGAGCAATTAGGACCATGAGTATGCAACCACAGGAAGGGGTGTGGCAGGACAAAAGGAAAGAAAGCTGTCTCCTACCCTAACCCCATCCATCACTCACCATCCGTGTGACCTTGGCAAAGGATGCTCCCCTGTGTGACTCTTTCTCTTAAAACCAGTATGCAACCAGTCATGGTGCCACACACCTATTATACTAGCACT